TTGTCAATGGAACACAGGTAAATATCTACTACCATTTACTCTCACCATCCTTCTAGTGTTGGAGTTTAGCTTTACTAAAGCTTCTCCAGCTAATTCCTTGCCAACATCCTTAATTCCTTCAGATAGACTTCATGAAGTACATTCATTAAATCAAAGAATAAACATGTTTTGTGAGCTTTGAGTGACACCTTGTGGAAAATCAACTTATTGCCAGCTAGTTCCCGGCCTCTGTGTTTGCATCATCTGGAGCAACAAAGAGTGAGCCCTTTTCTAGGCAGCCTAACAGGTGGGGCCTGATGTTCATGATTGATGATTCATCCCAGGCTGCCGTTCTCACTGTTACATAGCAGTTTCTATGGCAACGCTGGGACCAGCCAAAAGCTGTGCTTCTCCAACCATAGACTGGTGGCCAAAAACCTTTCCACACCTTTCCAACATAAAATTATTTACGTGTCAACTCTATGCCAAATAAATCCCCATCTATTTTATTTGGGGCAAAATTCATGCACATGAGAGCAGCCATAATATAACTCCACTGAGAACTATTTCCTAGGCATTTAAACAGTCCTTCCAGAGTTAGAAATTCTAGCCTGGTTAGGGGAGGGCGCTGTGCATGTACAACCAGAGGAGACGCTACAGCACCCAGCTATCATCTCTGGAAACCCTGTGAGACCCCAGGTGCTACACCCAGAAACTTCTGCTGCCAGGAAAGGAGCTGACTTGTGATCCTTCCCTGCTACATGGTAGGAAGTGGTAGGCAAGGAGTTTGCTTAGCAGGTCTGGGTTCCTGGGGTCACATGTTTAGGCTGCCAAGCATAGGTGGGGTTGTAGGGAATAGCACCAGATTAGAAGCATGGTGCAGAGTTTCTCTTCCCTTAGCTGGGCCACCACTTTGGACCATGGAATGCAGAAAGCCAGAGAGGACTAGGAGACCAGCAAGACAGAAGGACAAGGGCTGGCTCAGAAGGGGTTGGCCAAACCAGGTATGTTTTGGGACTTCAATTAAAGACTTGAACTTGAGATTGAGAAATCTTTCCCCTGAAGCTGCCCATGAGCCCCTGGGACAGAGGCAGATCCCTGGATTGTCAGTGAAGCCAGCAAGGGAAGCCCTGAAACCTGGGAATGGTTTCCCGGGAATGGGGAACAAGCGATAGGAAAGGCCAATTTTGAAAAGTGGCACTATCACATTTGTTAGAGAGTCACAGAAAACGTTGCCCAAAACTTAGAAGAAAAAGAAAACCTATCCAAGGTCTCAAGTCTCTAAATGTGTCAAGTTCAATGTTTGAAAACTAAATTATGTGTGGAAACACAGAGTCAAAGGAACAGCATGTTAAATTTCTGACCACTGCTGAGGAAGGGGGACGACGACTCCTCAGTCTGTTGGAGAAAATCAGCAAAGCTACAAATTGAATGTGTAGATTCAGTAGCTACTTGCAGCAAGGTTGGGTTTTCCAGGAAGCAGACCAGAAAGGTAGTTAGTGTGCAGGTTGTTTATAATGGAATGCCATGGCCTGGCATAGTAGCTCACGCCTGTAATTCCAGCACTTTGGTAGGCTGAGACAGGAGGATCGTTCAAGGCCAGTAGTTTGATACCAGCCTTGGAAATAGTGAGACCCTGTCTCTACTAAAAATAAAAAAATTAGCCAGGCAGGTGTCATGCGCCTGTAGTCCCAGCTACTCAGGAGGCTGAGGCAGGAGGATTGCTTGAGCCCAGGAGTTCAAGGCTGCAGTGAGCTATGATCATGCCACTGTACTCCAGCCTGGACGACAGAGCAAGATCCTGGGTCTGAAAAATAAATAAATAAATGGGAGTGCCCTGCAGAGCAACACCTGAGGAAGGGAAGGAAAGAAACAGGACTAGACAGTTTACCTCCATCAATAGAATGACCCTTCAGTGTTGTCCCCCACTGGACCGAAATGGCACAGCCTTCATACTCCCACCTGGTTCAGTCATTAGATGTGGGCCACCCAGGGGCAGAGTGACCTTGGCTGGGGTGGCTCTCTGCAAATGAATAATCCCAGAAGAGGCTGGCAGCTGAAAGCTCTGTCAACAGTCCTCCCAGAAGTTTGGTCTTCTTGAAGGGGAATCTGGCCCATCTCTGTGTGCAGCACAACATTTTGTGGACACTTACACTCCATGAGCCCGTAAATTCTGTTCACCCTGCCTCCCTCCCCAGATTTCTGCAGGACATTATGATAGGAGGTAAAGAGCCCCCTCTAAGGGACCTACCGGTGCTCAGTAATGATTTATTTTTCATCATACACCTTGGCAATTACATCAGCACAAGCACACAAATATAGCTAAGTGCTGATGGTGAATAAAACTTTCCTAAAATATCAATCACAAAATAAATTCCATCAACCGTACTGAAGACTGAATTACCCTGTTATTGTCTGTAGAGAAAATATTACAAGATTACTATCAAGGAAGAAACAGAGTATGCAATCAGAAATATGCAGGGAGGAAAAGTGTTATCAGTTATTAATACAGCTTATTTGCCTGGATTCTGTGATATTTGTTGGCCATTTGCTGGGATTTATTTTTTCCTTTTAAGTGAACCATCACCTTGCTGCCTCCTTTCTGTGGTGGTAATTTGGTGGTGTCTCTCCAGCCAGCCGGGACCCCGGCGGGCGGGCGCGGAGTCGGCCCAGAGACCCTGACATCTCCAGGCCGCACGTATCCCAAGCGCGCAAAGGGGAGATAACACGTATTCACGTTTTCACAGGATGCTCGGGCAGCACAGTTGACTGAGAAGCGCGGAATCAACTCAAGATCAGCCCAGGCCTCCCGTGTCCCCTCCCGCTGGCGGGCCCGGGCTCGCCCTTCCGTCCTTCCGCCCTTCCGCCCTTCCGCCCTTCCGCCCGGTAGCTCCCGGGGCGGGGCCGGGCGCGCGGCTGCGGATTGGCTGAGAGCAAGCGGCGTTGCTTGAAAGGCCCAATCAGCGCTCTGTCGCTCCGAGTCAGCCAATAGGAAGCCGAGAAAGGGCAGGAGGGACGGAGTCTCCTGTTTGAGCCGGCGGCGCGCTGAAGCACCGACGCCCGGGGTTGCTGCGCGGTTCGCGGCCAGGTCTGCCGCGAGCCATGGCGGGTGAGGTCTCGGGCGAGGACGCGCTGCTGTTGCAGAAGCTCAAGGACAGCCGCCGCCGCTTCCAGAGGCGCATGCAGCGGCTGATAGAGAAGGTGCGGCCCCCAGCGTCCGCGAGGAGGGGCGGCCGGGGCCAGGCCTGCGGGCCGGTGGGCCGGGAGGGGCTGGGCTCGGAGGGCGAGCCAAGCGGGGCAGGCGGGGCTGGGCTCTGGTGCGGAGCGGGGGCTTGGGAAGCCCCGGGCCGGACCAAGCCTCGCGCTGGCTGGCGCCTCCGTGGCCCGAGCCCGGGGCTGCTCGTGGCCCTCGGACCTTACGGGAAGCCCTTTCCTCCCCCGCAGTACAACCGGCCCTTCGAGGACGCCCCGCTGGTGCAGATGTCCACACTGACCTACGAGACGCCCCAGGGTAAGGAGGCGTCTTACCCCTTCTGTGTGTTTACGGTTAAGAGTGTGAGTAGAATCGTGTCTTCCATTGTAGAATTTGAAATGCTGTCCCTGCTCTCCTGTGGAGTAAACCTATTCACCTACCTAATAGGAGCCAAAACATCACTTGTTCCCCTTAACCTATAAATTGCTTATTTTCAACACAATTACTTGTTAAAACAGAGTTCGCGAAGACATAGAGGAGTCCTGGTTAAACAATGCCTCTGCCTGGTTGGGTTGTCATCCAGCTGGTCACCTACTGGACAGGGGTGGGGGCGGGGGGGGGGATAAGTTGACTAGCCGCACTGTGTCAGTGTCCTCATCTTTTAAAATGGGAAGGATAACAACAGTTATGTAGCGTCCTGTGAAGCTCTTGGAACGGTACCCAGCACTGGTAAACACTCGTAGTGACTGTCCTGTTTAATTTGGAGTTGTAACTGTCCTTGAGATTCTGAGCACGGGAAGAGAGATCAGAAGCCGGCCTGTTTCATAGTTAATGTTGTGGACTGATTCTCTTTGGTAAATAGCTGGAGAAAGTTTGCATTGGGTGAGGTCAGTTCCTCCCCTACAGCCTTAGTAACAACTTATTATTACTTACTAACGAAAGCAAATCTCAGATCAAATTCTGTGTTGCATTAAACATACAGGCACAAAAGGTTCATAAGATCTGCTCCTTGAATTAAATGAAGTATTAGCTGTCTGCCTTTTTGGCTGGTCTAGCCATGCCTCGGATGAAAAGTTTACACGGGCAGAAACTAAAATATTCCAGTGACATGTTTCTATTATTCTCTGGTCTGCACCAGGCCATGAGAAATCTAACCTGAGGGCAGGACACAGGGCTGTATAGGAATCTTTCCTAAGGGTGCCGCTAGCAGGCTTCTCTCTGTTCTTATGGGCTGTTCATGCAAGGATGGGCAGTGTCTAGAACGTTTTAGACAATCCACATTTCTTGAATGCCACTGATTTCACCAGTGAAAACTCATTTTTTTGACTCTAGTTTGATGAGAACAATAGGGGAAGCACCTCAATACCTTGCAAGCAGTCTCCATAGCATGTAGAAGACTCCTGGAGAGCTTGCTAAATAAAACACAGATTCCCAGGGCCACTCACAGCGATGCTACATGCCGGTTTTTAGTAGATTTGTGTTTCTAACAAGCTCACGGCTAATGTTGCTAACACTACGACACTGATTTTGATGAAGACAGCAGGAAAGTAATATTGTTTACATGCGTTGACAGCTTATCGTGTGCCCTACACTCCTAAGAGTTTCATATTTTTGATTCTCAACAATCCTTTGAGGTAGGCACTGTTCTTAGATTCATCTATGTTTAATGGTGAGTATAGCACAAAGAGGTTAAGTAACTTAGCCTGCGTCACTTAACCAAAGTGGCAAAGCCTTGACTTGATTTGTGCCCACATCCACAAACATCACTCCATTCTGGAAGGTCCACAAGGAACGGTGGTCAAGAGCACAGAGTCCACTGTGCCCAGAGTTCACATTCTGGCTCCACCGTGTGGGCAGGGGGCCTCGGCTAGTGGTTTGGATTTCTCCTTGCCTCTATGTGTCCGTCTATACAATGAACATGGTAGGTCCCTATCCCGTGGGGTGTTAGGAGTACTATACGAGTTCTGTGTAAGTGGGTTGTTGTGAATACTAAATGAGGACTACTTGGAAAGGGCTTCGAATAGATCCTGGAACATGGTAAGCACCACATAAATTTCTGTTGCTATCATTGTGTTAAGAACCACTGCAAGCATTGCAACCCAATGACGATTCCTTCTTATTGCAGAGATTGAGTATATTGCCCAACCTGTTAGCTGGTAAGTGGCAGGACTAGGTGTAGTTTGAACTCCAGAGTTGATGCCTGAGCTTGGGCTTACTCTATACCTGTAATGCATAGATTGCCCTTAGAAAGCATTTATTCTGTGTGGGAAGTAGAGACCCTCAAAAAGTACTTGCTTTCTCTCTATATGTAGTGTATGGATTGCCCTCATTGTGTATATTTTAAAGAAAGTACCTGACATGTGTATGTTCCTTGTTGACGTTTAACTTTTCAGGTTAGTGATGTGATTCGATGAGCCATTGCCTGCGAGGTAGGGGAGATTTCCATTAATGACAAATTTGTCTAATTTTGACTTTAAAAAAACCCTTCAACTTTACAGAGATGAACAACAAGAGAATATCAGAAACCTGGTTTGGTTTTAATTTAATTTAATTTTTTTTTTTTTTTTTTGCCTGTCCCTTTGGCTCTCTCTGAGTACAGATTGAGCAGAAATTCCTCATTCAAGATTACTTACATGGTAATTTTTGTTTTTTTTTCCTTAAGGATTGAGAATTTGGGGTGGAGGACTAATAAAGGAAAGAAACAAAGGACAAATCCAGGTATTTAATGTCAGATGTTATTGCCAGAGTGCTGCGCTGTGCGGGAGTGGGGCTGTGGTGAAGGTGTGAGTGTGTTTATGGGGGCTGCTGCGGGAGACTTTGTTTTCTCACCTTGACTGCCCTGTTTTTCTGTTTTTAAGGATTTACTGAGAAGCATTTCTTCTGTTGCTTGGCAAGTGCAGGAAGGAGCTGTATAATATTTGGCTTTTTTTGTCACTCCGTGTTTCCCCTGTCATAGGGCGGGTGGCTCTGACAACTGGATTGCACATGCAGAGGCTGGGCTGGTGGGTAACCCTTTCCTGGCCACACTGCAGCCCAGCAAGGGGCTCACTTTGTTGGGTCCTTACAGAAGAGACAAAATCCAGTTCCTCCGACGGAAGAAAAATGCCTCCCTTCCTCTTCTGGAAGGAGGAGGAAGAGAGATGGGGGGAGGATTCGATGTGCAGGATCACACATTTTTCCTTTTGCATTTTTCTACCTTTCAAAGACCTAGATTTTTTCCTTCCCTATTTGATCCAAGGGTGTGGCAGCTACAAGATCTATTATTTTAATGAAATGTGCTAATGCAGTTTGCCTTCCTGCTGGAGACCAGGGAGCCTTTTGTCATAGTAGTTTTTGCAAGATTGTCTGATGTCCCATTAGTCACTGCTTCTCAGACACCGCAGGGTTCCTCCTCACAGTCACAGGTCAAGGAACCGATACTCAAGAGTGAGAGCATCCAGGTTAAGGTGATTTAGCATTAACAGCAAATTTAACGTCAAATCTTCTTGATTATTTCAGTCATAGAAATGTTAGAAATATGTAGAACTACTTAAAATCAGCTTGACTTCTTTCTGCAGATACAGTCACTCATGCTAGTTTAGTATAATGTGATTCCTTTTTATAATACACATCTTTATAAATACACATTCTTTTACCCTCACGTTTCCAGTTACTATATATGGAGAACGCTTCTCTTCATCATCTATTATATATTTCAATCATCCAATTTTTTAAACTGCTCTCCTGTTGACAGGCATTTAGCTATTTGTGCTTTCCTTTATTATAAATCAGGGTCAGCACAGTTATTCCACAAAGGGCCGGAGAGTAAATATTTTAGGCCTTGCCAGCTGTGTTCTCTGTCGTAACTTCTCGGCTCCGTGTTGTAGGGGGAAAGCAGCGTAGAAAATATGTAAATGAGCACACGGGGCTGTGTTCCAGTAAACTTTTATTTATGACCCCCTGTCCTCAATAGTTTAGGAACAAAGAAACATCTATCAGAGAAACATCCTGGTCCTTATCTCTTCCCAATACTGATATCCCCCCATTTTATTAAATGCCAAGAAGTGGGATTATTGGGTCGAAGAACATGTTCTCTTTAAATTGTGCACAATAGAGATGCTCCCTCAGCAGACCAGTGCTTGAATGGTCCTGGTGGCAAAATGCTTTCATCTGGACATTTATCTAAGGTTTTTGCTTAAAATGTAGGGGGCCCCCCTGCCTGGAGTCTGCAGAATTTTCAGACCCTTTCTCGGGGTTAGAAAACAGCACAGTCTGCGATTGCAGCTTGGACATCTATAACATCACAGAAATTACCGTTGGTCACTGTGCCCAAATCTGCCTTCACCGTTTCCCAAACAGCCAAATGCTGGTGGTGCCCTGGAGGCTGTGGCAGGCTGCGCACCTACCTGTGCTGGTTCAGTCACGACACAAGGCTTGGGTTCTCTGTAGATACCAGAGCTGCCGAGTGGTTAGGGGTTTGTGCGGATCAGCTGCTTCCCGATTCTCAAACCAAGTTCCACCACCCCCTCAGACACAGCCACAAAACAGCTCTGTAAACTCCAGGAAGTCCCACCTGATGTGATGGTTTCGTCAGAGGCAAAGGTGCTGATACTCTGGCAGCAGGATTCACTTACCATGTGGTGCTCAGGGTAGCCACAAACACCCTGAGTCCTTGGAGATGACATCTGGGGACCATCCCTAAAGGGATAGGCCTCACCTCCTTCTCACTGCCTGTTCTTGCAAGGCTGCGTGGTTCCTAAAATATTTTAACCAATCTGGCATCTTGAATGCTCGAGTTTCACTAATGAGAACCCATCGGTGCCATCTGCTGGGATTACCAGTGGGGCCTAGTGTGCAGCGGGCTCTAGAGCAGGCGCAGGCCTCGCCAGGAGGGTGGCCTGCTGACCGCCCCTGTGATGCGAGCTCCAGGTCAGGGCACCCAACTGCCCCTCTGGTGTAGCTGAGGCTTGAACCACAGAGCACAGGAGTCGTAGGCCTCATGACATCACCATGAATGCTACATCACATTGGGATAAAGACCACAGGAAGTCCTATTAGCTATTTCTGGATTCTCCATAATGACCAGTGACAGTTTCGTTCTTTTTCACTTTGTTTTGTTTGCCCCAGTCGTGGAGCCACGGGTGGGCCGGGGCTGGGGTGTTAAGAGACGAGGGCACATCCGCTTGTGCCTCTGCTCTGTAGTTCAGGCAGCCGCCCTGGGCAGAACCCCAGGAAGAGAACTCTGCTGGTTTCCAGGGGGCACCTTGACCAGCTCAGAGGCATCTTGAGGCCTTTCGAAAAGCGGATGTACGGAGAGACGAGAAGCCTCGTGCAGCTTCCTGCTCTCTCCTGTGTTAGTGGAAGGACTGCAGGTTTATTACCTTACAGTGGCTTTGAAATGTGCTGTTTCTCTAACGAGTGTGTCTTTATTGACTTCTGCACTTCGAGGACTCCCCTGTGAAGCCCGTGGACAGGATAAATGGCCCTGTGCGAGCCGCAGTGCGGGGCCCTGAGCTTCCCGAACAAGGCACACAGGTCCTGGGAGCTGGTGAGTGTCACCTTTGTTAGAGTGAGTTCAGGAGGGACTGGGCTTGTCACGTCTCTGTTACAGCAGTTTAAAGTCTACATTCCTCATTATTAAAGTTTTTATTTTTTCTCAGGTATATTTTAAAAACTAAAAACATCTTAAAGTGCGCTGTTAATTCCTTCTGAGCCCCCTGGAGGATTGGGGGCTATGTCTTGCCCACAGTTACATCTGTGGTGCTCAAATGTTTCTTGAATAAATAAACATGCCCCCCACTTAAAAACTTAATGTCAAGATTTAAGATTTGCCGTACTGGGTGGTGGTGTGACTGCTCGCTTCTGTGGAAAAGCCGCCTGCCTCTGCAGCCACCCATGTTTTCTTCCTCCTCCTCCTCCTCCTCCTTCTCCTCCTTCTCCTCCTTCTCCGCCTCCACCTCCAGGAGGCTCCTCTGCCGCCCCCTAGGCCAGCCCCACCGCCCTCCCCTGACACTGGCCCGTGTCCTCAGGAATCCATCTGTCACCCCTGCTTTCTTTCTGTCCTGAGCCTCTCTACCAGGACCCATCCATCAGCATTTACGCAAGCCCAAATTCCACCTTCAACACACAAATCACTTCACAGATCTCCCCCGTCCCATGTCCTGTCTGGCTCCCTCCCTTTGTTCACTCCCTTCCAACCAAAGTCAAACCCCTGCTCGTCTGCTGCCTGGGCTTCCTCCCTGCCGTGTGCTCCTTACCCGGCTCCATTCCGGCTTCAGGCTCCGTCGGAGAGATGCCGTAACTGTCTTTGAGAGGAACATGCAAGCTCTTCTAAAAGTCCTGATTGAGATTTCCTTTTTTTACTTTCAGATGCAGAAGGCAGTGAGGTCGATGCAACTTTAGACCAGGAAGATCCGGCTGCGTGGGCTGTCATGGTGAGCACTGCCTTTGGTGACGTGTGGCCGGAGCGAGCCTGGGGTTCGGGTGCACATCCTCTCAGTTGTCAAAGCCCACGCAGCCTGGGGCAGCACCTGCACCTGTCTGGAAGTCCTCTTCTGAGGCTTGCTCTTGCTGCTACCACCCCTCAAGTCTTTGGTTTCCCCCATTCGGGTCCCCTAAGGCAGTAGGTCCCTCCCCAGTCTAGCGCTTAGCAGCCACTACCCCCAGTCCAGGCTTCATCTACTGAACTTACATGGTTGTGAGTAATCCCGGATGGTTTTCACTCTGCAAACAGAACTGTCACACTGTGGTTCACAGGGCACCGTTTGCCTCCAGTGAGCACGTGACATTAAAAGGTGGGCTCTAAGTCTTGCTCCACAGAGCCAGTGTCACAGGGAGGTGTTTTAGAAAGTATCTCCAGGTCAGCCCTTGAAAGCCCCTTTAGTCACCAGGTCATGTAATCAGGCAACGTCGCTAGCCTAAATGGCAAGTGTTGTCCATGTCTGTTTCCCAGAGTGCCCCGGTGGGCACAGAAGCCACCACTCTCCTTACAGGATGTGCTTCTCACCTCCCCTCTCACTAGGATAGATAAGAATTCGCACTGCGCTTAACCCACTCGGGAGTCTTTGCCAGCCCTATGTCATATGCTAGCATGGCTGGCTCATGGTTTTTCTCTAAAACTGTTCTTTTTGCGCAAGCGTTGCCCATACCCCCACGTGACTTAGTGACTAAGTAGAAACAGGTAATGACCCCAAGGAAGGAAAGTGGTACCTACTGAAGTGTCATGTAGGGATTGGCAGCAAGGGGGCCTGGGTGGTCCCGGTAGTGAAGAGCTGGCCCTTCCCTGGCAGTGTGTATGTGTGTCATCCTCCCTGGTCAGCCCTACCCAGGTGCAGAGAATGGAGGGTGACACCTGTTCCCAGTGTCTGGCAGATGGGGATAGGCCATTCCCGGCCTCCTGAGTTAGAACACTGACCAGTCGGGGTTATTTCTAGTAGTTGAGTCCTAACCTCATCTAACAATATTCAAGTTGTTTTCATTTTTTGTTTCTGTTCTTGTAATGCTGTCATAACTTTTCCAGACTTACTTTTTTTTTTTTTTTTTTGGTCTTTTTACTTTCTTTTGGGTTGTTAACACTGGGTAAATTCCCTAAAGTCAGATTACTGGGTCGGTGGAATTTCGGAAGGGCTGGACCAATCTGTGCTGCTAACAGCGGGAGGTGAGAAAGTAACTTTGGGTAACTTCATTTACAGATCAGTGTGTTAGTGAGCTTGCCGGTTTGTTTCAGAATTCAAGAGGTCATCTGCACCCAACAGCTCTTAAGAATACTGACTTCTCTTTTTTTGATCAGCCTGCAGTGCCTCAAAGCCCTTTGAAAAATGAGTTAAGAAGAAAATACTTGACCCAGGTGGATATACTGCTGCAAGATTCAGGGTGTTTTGAGGTAATCTGTTTTTCAGTGTTTGTTTCTATGTAATCAGATCATACACTAACGACACGTTGAGGTACAATATGATCATGCTTTTTGTTTACTCTCCATAGAGCCTGTAAAGAGCATTTTGAATAATTATTCCCAAACTGTTTTACTCACATGCTGATAGACTTTTGCTCTTCTTGAATAAACACTCCAGGTCCCCAGGGACAGCGCCATGAGGGCAACTGGCGGAGGTGGGAGTCCTCCTGGGGGTGCCCTCCGCTGCCCGCCTTCTGGGGCGGCTCACAGCATCCAGTAGGGCCACATGTAGGGCTCTCCAGGGGCAGCCCGGGCCTCTGGATGGAGGGCTCTGAAGCTGCATAATTAGGGAGGCAGTGGCTCCCACCTTCCCTGGTGTGACCAGGCAAGGGTCAGCAGCAAGGTGAGTCGGCTGAGTGGTGGCCCTTGCCTGTCCCTCCTGCTCTGAGGTTGTGGTGGGGTGGGGCATGAGTGGGGGCTGTGGTGAAGCCTTGGGTGGCAGCGTGGATGGCATGAGGGGCGGGCGGCCTGGCCAGCTCCCCTCCCAGGCTGCCCTCTGTTCCTCTGCAGCCGCCTTCTTGGAGCTTCGCCTAAGGAAGAGTAAAAAAGCTAAAGATGGAGCTTCATATAAGGATGCCACCCCCTTAGTTTTCCCAATTCTGTCAATATCTTTTATACAATAAAAGGATGTTTTAATACCAAATAACTAGAAAGTACACATTGCAGAATAAAGAACAATTCAACTCCCCAAAAGGCAGCAGTTGTGCGTGGGTTTATTTTCCTATTGTGCTGCTGACCAGTGGAAGGCCTGTATGTGAGGACCTCTGACTCAGTGGCTGTACTAGAAATGAGTTTTTCCTTTACCCTGAAGCAGTAAGTGGTGTCCTCTTGCTTGCCATGTTCAGAGGAAGAGACTGGAGTTAGGAATGGCTCTATCGGGTCTTCTCTGCCCACCATGCCCCTGGCCCCTCAGTGTTCTTGTTGTGCGAGTATAATGGTGGACAAAGAAAAGCCACCAGCCTTTCCAGGGTCAGGGGTTACTGGCAGACAAGTGGTATCTGTGGCAGAGGGCATCTTGGAGGCCACATGGACATAGTTCCCAATCTTACTGGGACACCTTCCTTCCAGTGCTCGAAGCCTAGCTGGCCACTGTCACCATGGTTACATGCTTGTCAACACTGCCGTGCTAAGACACACAGTTGATGTTGACAGGGCACCAGCTCTTTACGCCATCGTTGGGGGACGTTGCATCGTCAGGGGAGAGCCCAGCACCATGCGCCCTGGGTCTTGACATTTGACAACTCTTAATAACCACTGGCTTTGATTTCAGTGTGTGGACGACGGACACACTTGTGGAAAGGACAGGCTCGTGGCCCTGCTCCCCTCGCTGGCCTCAGCTGCCATGCCCGCCCCTGGTGAGTGTGATGCAGAAACTGTGTGAACTGTGCACTGTGCGTGCCCCCTGTGCTTTGCTAGAGCCACGTGCAGCCCCTCAGCTCAGCACTGTTCGTGCTGAGATTTAGAAAGTCTCAATGTAAGGAAAACGAGCTGTTTTTTTCTCTGAAATTCTGCTGTTTATTCCAACATAACCAGTTTGAAAAGTTTTGACCTTCCAGAAACATAGGACTAGTATAATGAACACCCTTCACCTGTTTCACAGTTAACATCTTGGCACATTTGCTTTGTCACCCACCCCCACCCCCGGCACACACATATCCCTCCTGTATGTGTGTGTTTGCAGTTGTGTGTTTATTATCCCACACGTATCTCCTAAGTACAGGCTAATTCTCCTGCATGGCTGCAGAAAGCTCAGCACATGCCAGGAATTGAACATTGACACACAATTTCACCCACTTGTGCTAGTCCAGGCAGACTGTCCCTCAGTTAGGACCTGTCTGATTGTGTCCTCATGGTTAGGTTCGTGTTAAACATTTTGGGCAAAACCACTACATCGGTGAAATACCCCTCGGGACATCAGGTCAGTCTGTCCTATTGGCAGCTTTTGAGTCTGGTGGTTTCGCTAGGGTGGACCCACCCAGTTTCTCACGCGAAAGGGCCTTTTGCCTTGGAGTCATCTTGGGTGATCTTCTGAGGTCTCCGGCAGCCTTATGTTCAGAGTGCTGTGTTCAAAGTTACTTGGATTCTTTTTCCTCTTGTAGTTATTAATTGGATAGACAGGCTTGTTTTTGCTGTTCATATTCGACCTTGAGGTTTTTCCCATCCTTGCTGGTTTAATTTCATTTTTTTAAACATAAAACATCGAACATGATGCAAAGCTCAAAGCTGTATAAAGAGGTGTGTTGAGGAGTCTTCCTCCCTCTCCACCCATCCCTGGAGGGAAAGTGTCATTTTCCGATTTCTAATTAGCTTTTGAAAAGGCATCCAGCTTCCAAACAGCCACGGTGAGGAAGGAAGACTCCTATTGGGAAGGGAAGGTTGGATGGAGAGTAGAAATGAAATCTTGGTAGCTAAAGAGACATCTCTGAGAAGAGTCTATTCCTAAATATTTGTGGAGTTTTTGTTTTATTTATTTATTGTTTTGTATTGCTTAAGAAAACACAGTCATGATCCACTCTAAGTTCTATGACCTGGGCATATGGATGGCTTTGCTTATGTTTTTCCCCAGGATACTGTGGTGGTGTCTCTGGAAAGAGTCCTGGGGACCCAGCTAAACCAGCTTCATCTCCCAGACAATGGGACCCTCCACGTCCTTGCTCAACAGATATGGCCATAGTACCTAGAAATGACACTCTCTCACTAACAAGGACCAGTAGCAGCAGCTTCTTAAGCAGCCGGTCCTTTGTAGATGACGACATTTGCGATGTGACGATCAGTGACCTGTATGAGGGCATGGTGCACTCGATGAGCCGGCTGCTGAGCACGAAGCCATCAAGCATAATCTCCACCAAAACGTCCATCATGCAGAACTGGAATTCGAGGAGGAGGCACAGATGTAAGAGCAGGATGAACAAAACGTATTGCAAAGGAGGCAGACATTCTCAGAGGCTCTCCAAGGAGAGGTTTTTACCCTCCTCTGAGCCTGTGCAAGAGAGAGGAATGTTAAGAGATTGTAAGAACTTGCTAGATGTTTCTTACCGTAAGACAGGTTTAAAATTGAAAAAAGCTGTTCTTGAAGTAAAACCCCAAATCCATAAGTCAGATCTGAGTTGGAAGGAGCTTAAAGTGACACCCCAGAAGTATTCCTCATTGACTTATTTAGACCCCAATGGAACACATAGTCCTGATCAGGAAAATAGACTTATGACATTAAAATGGTTAATTTCTCCTGTAAAAAGGGTTACCGGACCAAGAATACTACCGGGCCATGGAGGGAATCATCATAGGGAGATTGAAATCAGATTTGATGAGCTCTATCGGGAATATTGCCTGACTCCCAGGAAACAGTCTCGCCTGACTGGCCCCCCCAACTCCTGGGCTGTGGACGTGTACAAAGGTGGTCCCACCAGCCCTGGTGGCCGTCAGGGCTTAGAAACCCACAGGCTGAGTTTCCCTTTCAAGAAAGCAAAAGCAAAAAGGCTGAACGAGGCTTTTGACGCTGTGGGCAGAAGACCCACGGAGGTGAGTGGGTGCCTGCCAAGGGGAGGTTCCTCTTGGTCACTCTCAAACACCAGCCCCACACCGAGCCCAGGTCCCTCTCAGCAGATGCCTGACCTTCACTTCCAAGGAAACAGTTCCGGAATGTTTAGAAAGTCAGTATGGCCCAGCAAAGCTGTTTCAGTACCAAGGATAGGACCTCTGGGCTGTGGAAGAAATCGTTATGATGAAATTAAAGAACAATTTGACAAGCTTCATCAAAAGTATTGCCCAAAATTGCCTGTGCAAGCGAAGGCGCCTTTAGGTATTGGAGCGTCTCTAGATAAAGCAAGTGTGGAAGTCCAGGATCAAACAGAAGACTTAGGAACGTCAAACCCAGACTCTCGCTTCCAGGGTTCCCCAAAGTTATCATTGTCTTCATCACCCACGAAAAGTCTGCTGGGCTCAACTGCAATTGTGGCTCATCCATCTGCGTGCATCTCTTGTGCTACCGGGAGGGACCTGCAGTCCCCTGCAAAAAGATGCCGGTTATCAGACCCCTGGGGGTGTGGACACCACATCGGTTCCCGGGATTCCTCAGGCTGTGTGGGCAGAGCCGCCCTTGGACCAGGAGAGCAGGGCAGCTCTTCACAGCCCGACTCAGAAGAGAAGGTGCGTTTCTGTTTGTTGCATGTGGAGTTTTCTGAGTGACCCCTCTGGGCAGAACCTTTTTATGGTGGGAACCTTTGTGCCCCCTTTGACAAATCTCTACAGAATTCTTACACGAGTGTTAATTTTCCAAGTATTCTTCCAAATTCTTTTCCTTTCTCTGAAATCAGCATTTATATCAAGAACAGGTTCGTGTGTAAGATGCATGAAGGTGGAGCAGAAAATGTTCTCGTAGGAAAAGGTTTACACACTTCCCGTTGGAATGCGTCCAGGGGTTTCTTCTACGAACCCTCACTTACTATGTTCTATCCTTTGTCAGACTGTGTCATTTCCAACCTCTTTATGTTACTCTGCTGGGAGGCGAAACTCTTCTGGAAGTAATGACCTCCTGTCTGCTTCTGGGTTCCGGCAGGGAGGAGCAGGCCACGGCCGCCGCTGGGCCTCACTGCTGCTCTGGGGATGCGCTCGGCGCTTGGCATTACGATCTCCATGTGCCTCGAGCTGCAGTTCAGCTTGCACAGGTCACGCCAGCTGAAGTTTCAGTCTGCGTGTGCCGTTTAATTTCCTCCAGAGACAGGGTGGACAGGTGGTGGGGTAGGGTGGGTCCCTGTGAGTTGTGACCTTTGTTGTGTTAAGTGCCAGACTCCCCGGTGTAGCCTCTCTGTGTCCACCAGCCGGGATTCAGCCGGGATTTGGGCGACAGGGCCCTTTTAACTGAGCGCAGTCCCTTACCGCTGGCGGGCAGGGTTTGGCTGTGGGTTTGGTCTGGCTCGCTCCCCGGGTTTTATGTGTTTGTGGTTTGGGCAGGCGAGGCAGTGACCCCAGCCTCCTGTCTCTCTTACCCACCCGGGTGGTGGGCTTCTCCTCCAAGGTCTTTGGGTGGCCCCGTCTGCAGGAAACGTTTTTCCCAGCTGGGCCTGTTTGGCCTGCTGTCCCTCAGCCGCTGGCTCCTGCCTTTGCAGCCTGCAGTCCAGCCTTTGTACAACTGAGACCCACGCTCTCATACCCCCCGCAGCCTGCTGTGACTTCGGCCGCACGGTGAACCCTTTCTCACCGTCACTGTCCTCCCTGTGCCCTCGGGCTTCTCCCCCTCTCCTTCCCAGGGGGCTTTTCGCTGGCATTCTCCCACCTACTCTCCAGTCATTTGCTCTTGTGTCCCCAGACTCCCTCCCGCAGCCCTCCACCTGCACAGCTGCCCTCCCAGGTGCACACGGTGCCACAGCGCGGAGCTGCTGGACACAGGCCAGTCCCGTAGGCTGATGGCACAAGGCAGGATCCTTACGGCTCAGGCTCCTTGGCTCGGTCCTGGAAGCTCCCAGGTTTTGTTGGGTTTTGTTTTTTTAAGTCACTTCCGTGTATAAAATCATACTATTTGAGCTAACCAGAAGCAGATTAGACAAGCCTGTGTCGTCATTTGTCTTCCCAGTTCAGGATGGGTGTAAATCTCTGGGTGACAGGAAAGGTTTGCTCCAGGACCCCTGCCAGGGTCAGGGGCCTTCGGTGAGACAGACCCAAGGGCAGGCTGGACCTGGGGAGCCACCTGCCTGGCGGTGTGTGGCCAGGGTGCTCCAAAGCTCCTCCCCTCACAGTGCGTGGCTCACGTAGGCCCTTCCCTTCGGTCGTGGTCTCCAGTTGTTCGCCTGCCCACCCCCACTCCTGTGCCCACTGGGCTTTTCCAGACCCAGCCACGGGCCGGATGACTTTCAGCTGCAGTTCAGTGAGGCCTTCCAGAAATCTCAGCCACTTCCGCATGGCAGGCACTTTGTGGAGGTTGCTTGGAGAGCAAAGATGTGTGTTCTGTTTTAAAGGCACGTCTCAGGATAACTGTATTTCTCAGCTGGAAGGGGACGTTTCACTGAAAACAACTCCCCAGCCCAGAAAGGCAGCCCTGGGGTTTCCTGCAGCTTCCTGGCACATCGTAACTCCTTTGATCCCTGTCCCTTGGCCGGACCTAAACCACTTTTTCTCAAACAGCCCTCACCTGTTCTTTTTACCATCATCCAGCCCCTGGGATTCTCTCTCGTGCCTTTTCCCACCTGTTCCCTCGACTTGCTCGCACTGCTCCGCTGCCTGCCGGCTCTGGGCCTCAGAGCATAGCCCTGTCTCCTGCCTTCCACGCCTCAGCCTGGGCCCTGCCCTCTCCCAGGGAAGCCCTGCCTCGGTGCCCGGGGCAAAGGCTCCCCTCGCATTTTCACCTGCTTGGCCTACAGGGATTTCTTCTCTTGGCCCAGCCACATAGCAGGGACCCCAGCTTTACAGTAGAGAACGTGTGAGGTTGCATGTTGTGAACGTCACAGTGCCCGGGAGTGGGGGACTGGGCTGACAGCTCAGCCCTGGGTGGCCCAGTGGGGCTCTCTCAGCACCCCTGGAATCTGATAGCAAGTCCTGTGACCATGGCCAGATGCCACTCAAGTTTCGTCTTAATCTACAATATAGACGTTTAACCAGTTCCCCTACTTATTTTATCTTTCCGCTTTCCCTACTTAAATGATAAAATTTCTTGGGGAAAAGGGCCAGCCAACTCTTCATGAGCTGTGACTACATAAGGAATTATAAGGGCTGACATCTGAGTGCTTTCTGTGTGCCAGAGGCCTTGTCTTAATCCCCACACAAATTTGGTTAGACAGGTCTGTCCGGTAGGCAGGGTGTCTCTCCTTTTTATAGAGAAGGAAACGCAGCTTAAGTCTCCCAAATTCACACAGGCAGTGCTGGCTTTTTAAACATTTCTTAGGGTATTTGTTTAATGTGGTGGCATTTTTTTTTCTATAATAGGCACACATGTGTTTCTATGGATGCAGTGGAATAAACAGAAAACTGTTGAGCTATTGCTGACTGGCGTTGGGAGTTCCAGTGGAATTTTACTGAAATCGTTTTGTCTTTTTTTTTTTCTATAGGAATGAAGAACATTTTCAGGATAGAAGAGAAAATTGGTTTTTGTGCTAGGAAAATTCAAAGCTAAAAGTCTCCAGCCAGGTTACGTCGGAGCGTTGTTTCTCTTTACTCTCGCCCTCTGTTTATGGTTTTTGTTTTGTTTTTAATTCTCAAGACAATGTGAGAACTTGGTTCACTTATCTGTCCTCAAAGCAAATGTCAATGAAATTGGCTGCATCAGAGATGACTCTGAGTATAGAAATTGTGCAAATAAATTGTGTGAATAAATGCTCGATTAAAATGTTTCAGGTCATCCTTTGTAGGCCTATTTTTCTCATGTTTTCTTTCTTAAATTTAGACACGTCCAGAGAATTCTCCCTTACATTTCCTATTTCATTAGAGAGTGTTGTTTGCTTGTGAAACCCGAGTTTAAGCCCTGGATACAGTGATCCTTGGAGGAAAATACAGCTGCTTCATCTTTTAAATTCAGACCCATGGGGAGTCGGCACCTCCCTCTTAGGAGACGGCAGATTAAAACCTAATACAGGTTGAACGTCCCTCATCTGAAATGCTTGGGACCAGAAGTGTTTTGGATTTTGTGGTTTTTCAGATTTTAGAATATTTGCATATACTGTTAACTGTTGATCAACAAGGGTTAGAACAGAACGGGTCAATGTGGATTTTCTTCTGCCTTACCACCACTGAGTCAGCAAGACCAACCCCTCCTCTTCATCAGCCTGCTCAACATGAAGACAATGAGGATGAAGATCTTTATGATGATCCACTCCCACTTAGTGAATAGTAAATATATTTTTTCTTCCTTATGATTTTCTTAATAACATTTCTCTAGCTTACTTTATTGTAGGAATACAGTATATCATACATGCAGCATACAAAATACGTGTTCATGGACTGTTTGTTATCAGGCTTCTGGTCAGGAGTAGGCTATTAACAGTTTAGTTTTCAGGGAGTCAAAAGTTTTTGACTGCATGGGGGTGATTGGGACTCCGAAGCCCTGCATTGTTGAAGGGTCAGCTGTACATAATGAGATATCTTGGGGATGGGACCCAGATCTAAATATGACATTTATTTATATTTTATATATACCTTACCACATAGCCTGAAGGTAATTTTATGCAATATTTTTAATAATTTCGTATATAAAGCAAAGTTTTGACTGTGACTTGTCACGAGGTCAGGCATGAAATTTTCCACTTGTGGCATCATGTTGGCACTCAAAAAGTTTCAGATTTCAGATCTTTGGATTACGGATGTTCAACCTGTATAATTCACCCATAAAAAGTAATTCCTAACATCTTAATATTTTTAGATGAAAACATACTGTATTTAAGCAGTCCTGGTAGTTCCAAAGCTCTCTTGCAGCCATATAGCATCTATGACGCCTTGTGATTTTTAGTGGAGCCATTTACGATAGGATATCACAGTGACTTTTTTAATGAAATATTTCAAATATTCAGAATGCAGTAACAAAACCCATGCTGGAGTCAATAGTTGTTAGTATATTGCTGCATGCGTTTTGGATTTTTGTAAATGAAAGGTTAAGGATAAGATTAAGTTATGCACTTTCATTCCCTCCCCCTCCCTAGGCGATTGCGCTCCTGATGTCGGTGTGCGTCCCTTCCACCCACACCTTACAATGGGACCACGTTGCCTGTGTGTATGAGTTTGCTCTGGCTGCCGTAACAAAACGCCAGAGCCTGGGTGGCTTAAGCAACGGAGATTTATTTCCTCACAGTTCTGAGATAGGGAGGCAGCATGGTCGGGTTTTGGTGAGGGCTCTCTCCCTGGCTGGCAGACAGCCGCCTTCTTGCTGTGTCCTCACTTAATGGAGAGAGAGGAAGATCTCTCTGCTGTCTCTTGTAAGGGCTCTAATCCCATCATGAGGGCCCCACCGTCATGACCACATCTAAACCTCATCGCCTCCCAAACGCTCCATCTCCAAACACCATCACCCTGGGGTTAGGGCTTTACTGTATGAATTCAAGGGACACAATTCAGTCCACAGCACCGTGGATCAATAAGGAAGGCACAGGCTGCTTACAGCTGAGAGCCTGGCCGAGAGCCTTAGACCTCGCAGGAGGCTGGTTTTTCCTCACAGAACAGGCTGGAGCGGACTGCTGGCTCAGGCTCGGCCAGGGCAGGGTGGCCCCTGCAATGCTAGGCTTTCTTTGGCCTGCTGCTTCCTTAGAAGCACACAACCCATCCTTTCCTTATCATCAGGAAAACCATCATCGTACCCAGACGGCTCGTGCCTCGCCTTTCCCTCAAAGCCAGCAGACTGTGCTGAGGTCTCGTTGGCTGGGCCAGGCCTAGCTGCGGAGAGGCTGCAAAACAGTTTTTGATCATCTAGTGGAAGAAGGTGAGGCAGAAAGAATTGGGCATGGATCTTAGCCAATTTATAAGATCTGCCAATAAAGGACCCATAAACTATATGCAGTATAGTCTCTATGTTTTCAACTTCTATGTGAATCATTTAATACTATATACCTTTGACAGGAGCTAATGCATGTGGGTTTCTCTCATTTTAAGCATTCTCTAGGCAGTTGCTTCACTGTCCTGGCATCTGGATAGAAACACATCACCTGGGATCCTTGTGCACAAGTGTAAATTTATCTGAGGACACAACTACAAGCGAACTATGGGTTATGGATGGGTGCATCTTTAACTTACCTGATAATGCCGAATCGCTTTCCCAAACAACTATTCCGCTGTACTGAACCCAGCAGTGTGAGAGGTACCGCTTCCCCACATCGCTGGCAGCCTTTGAGCTGCGGTGGGAGTGAAGTGTGTTGCTTCACGATCTGCTTTCTCTTGATGACTTGAGATCGCATGTCTTCCTGGGATGCTGGTTTCTCCAGTGTCCTCTCAGGACGTTGTTTCTGTTTGCCTCTTTGTTTCTTACTGTTTGGGGTCTATTCTGGATCCTATCATATGAACCAATCCAGTTCTATGTAAGTTGCAAGTAACTTCTCCCATCTGTGATTTGTACTTTAACTTTGTGGTATTTTGTGTACCAAAGTTACATGTTAACACAGTCAGTGCTAATGGTTTGAACATAGTTGGTCTTGAAATTTAATTGCCAATGTGACAGGATCAGGAGGTGAGGTCTAGTGGGAGGTGTTGGAGTCATGGGGAGGATCCCTCACGAACACATTAATGCCATCTCTAAGGAGTGCTCGCTCCCTCAGGACTGGATTAGTTACTGTGAGAGCGGGTTGTTATGAAGCAAGCTTCCTCCTCGTGCTTGGTCTCTGCCTATACCCACTTTTCTGCTTCTCCACCAGGTCTGGATGTAGCATGTAGCCCTTCCCAGAGGCTGAGCAGATGCAGGCGTCATGCTCTTGGACTTTCCAGCTACCAGAATCATGAAGTAAATACACCTTTCTTTATAAATTGCCCAGCCTCAGGCATTCTGCTACAGCAATGCTGAATGGACTAAGACAAGCAGCTAGCTTAACCCTTTTTCTGGCATCTGTTAATTTTTAAAGAAAAACTACCTTACTCTTAGGATCAAAAATACTACATTGTCTTAAATGTTGCTTTTCACCTTTACGTCTATAAACCATCTAGAAATGTTTTTGCACAAGTATGAAGGGAGAGCCAGTTATGCAGACGTACAGCCATCTCCCCGTACGCGTGTTGGACAGCGCGTCCATCCCCACTGCATCAGTGGTGTCCAAGCTTGTTTAGCAGCAGCACACTCCATCACTTGGCAGAAAATAACTTCATTATTTGTCCCATGGGAGCCACAAAAAGATTTGAAAACCACTATTCCAGAGAAGCCTTAAGCATGGATTGATGTTTCAACTGCTCAGCAACCCTCTCCCACTGATGGGACCCCGTATGGTGACTGCCTTCGGCAGCTGTAGTGGGAACAGCTCGGAAGTCCTGTTTTTACCTGGGGACAACCAGCCTGTTCTGCCAATGGCCTGAGTGTAGGAAAAGTCTTTCCCTGCACTCCGCCCCTCTTCCCCTACATGTTTCTTGGACCCTCAGCCAAATTCTGTTCCAGAATGCCAAACATGCTTTGGTAATTTCAGGCCTCCATGGGAAGGATGAGGGTGGGCCTGGCATAAATGTCACGAGGCCCTCCCGGATTGTCCCCAGGGGGACGCACATTTTCCCCCCTGTGCCACAACCACTTTCACCTGGCTGCAGCCCTCCTCTCCCTCTGATGTGTCCTGGTCTGCTGGATAGACGTCTACCTTTCCCTTTAAGAATGGGGTGCCTAGGGGGCAGAGGCTAGACAATAGGTCGGCCCCCCTCTGAACTTGGCACAGACCCTGGCAGTGGACACACTCAGCATGTGTGGGACAAAAGTGCACGTGAAGACACAAAGCTAGTCTCCGGTCCCTTGTACCCAGGGGCTGTCTGACACGCCAGGGCAAGGCGGGAATGAAGTGGCGCGTTAGGGCTGATGTTCCCTTCGCCCCATGACCTAGGTTGTGGGATGTCGTCGCAGTCAGGAGCCTGCACTCCAAATGGCAGCGGAGGTTTATTTCAATGGAAGGAAAGAAAGGGATACTGATTATTTTACAACAGTATTTTCCTTACAAATTAAAGAGGGTTTGCATCGCTACGGTAGGATTTGGCACTCTGAGAAGACAGTTTGCATCTGACATTTGGCCTACCTAGGACATTCCTCCAGGTGAAGCCAAAAGCCAGTGCTGACTACAGCTATCCAAGACTTTGAGCGTCTCCAGGGCTGCCCTCCGGACCCCAGGATCCGTGTCCAGCTGTAGCTCCTGGAGGGCTGAGAGTGAGCACAGAGAGGAGGAATCAGGCCCCCTGGTCAGGATGGCACACCCTGTGCCCTGGCATTGGCTACAGGCCAGGGCGGCTGACAGTGGCAAGGGACGGACTTGGAACCTCCTGTGTGATGCCAGCAGACGGCCGTGGGGCTGTGTGATTTCGCACATCACAGACCTCCCAAGGCTCCAGCGGCCGCCCTAGCATGACAGCGAGACACCCACAGCCGGACTGCAGCATCAGGGCAGAAGCATTTCATGAATAGCTGTGAACGCGGGAAACAGCACAGGGGACGAGATGGACCCCGCCCATCAGCAGCTGTCTTCCTGGACGGTCCTCCCCGGTGCATCCCTCCCTCTCTGTCCTGGTTACACCAGCCCCCACCCCCCAAGTCCCCACAAGAAAGAACTGTCTGGCTCTTCCCTGAGGGTAGTTTCACTAAGCTCCCTAAATGAGTTTTGCTGAGTTTGTGGACTCAGAGTATAATCGAGCCTCCACTACTTACAATTCCGTAATGCAGGAAAGTCCAGCTTTTTCAGGTAATGTGTAGACATCTGCTTCATAATAATTCCTAAAATGACAGCCAGAGACATGCTTATCACATGAATATTAGGCCAGCAGGCAAACCACTCTGTGCCCCTCCCTGCAAGAGACTTAGTTTTGCCGTATGAGGACATCCGGCAGAGGTTTTGTTGGGCCAAGTCGGCAAGGAGGAAGCCTGGTTCAAAATCAGGCGGGTAGGAATCTGGGTCCTGGTGGGACAGGAGCACAGCGCGGGGATCAGACCTGAGTGTGGAACCCAACTCTGCCCCCTGTCTCCCTCCCCGTTCAGGGCTGGGGTTGACCAGATGGCTGTCGTGGTCCACCCTGAGTCCAGAGACCTGTCTGCTTACCTGCCAAGTTGCAGGCAGCGATTCTGATCCTTGACAAGTTACTTTTAATGTAGGTCATTGTTTCTAGCAAGAAGCTGTAGAGAACGGCAGGCTTTTTCTGAGCCTACAAAAAACAAGTGACACACACAGCCTTGGAGGACGCGATCCTGGAGATGGGCTGCTCACCAAGAGTGTTCCCCTCTGTCTGACCCGTCAGTTCCCTTGCAACTGGGAGGGTCTACCCAGAGAGGTCAAGCGCCCATCCCAGCGTCACACAGCAGATTAGTAGCTAGGCAAGTTAAGGACCATCAGCCCCTGTTGCATTTCTGTTGGACTCTAGAGGGGCTCTTGCATTTGCCCAGAACCTGCTCTGTCCGACACGGTAGCCACTGGCCACACGTGGCCCTTAAGCATTTGAAGTGTGGCTAGTCTGAATTAAGTGGAAAATGTCTCCTGGATTTTGAAGACTACCCAAAAAGACCAAAATGTAAACTATCACAGTAATAGTTTTTATATTGATTACATGTTGAAATGATCACATTTTAGTTATATTGGGTGAAATGAAATATTAAAATTAGTATCGCCTCTTCCTCCTTTTCTGAATGTGGCTGCTAGAAAACTTAAGAATAGACATGCAGCTTGCATTCTACTTCTGTTGGTCTCGACAGTTCACACGTGGGAAGTAAAAGGAGTCACAAGAAAGAAATCTGTGGCAGCCTTGACCCTAAGCTCCAGGCCAGAGTGTGGCCACCTGGGACGGGCTGGTCCCCTTCCCCTTCTCACCAGGATGGAGCACATGGTTGTCTGGAAAACGACCATCCTGTCATCGGTACTGGCGTCACTTTGCCCCGATGGGCTCTCCAGGGACTTCCAGCCCCAGAAGTGCACACACTGAAACATGGTAGCCATACAGGCCTGGAGGGACAAGGACACAAGACAGTAGAGAGGCATCAGGCCCACAGGGCCAGGGTGGTTTGCACGAGGGGTGGGGCTGGCAAGAAGCCAGAGGGCAGCCCGGGAAGCACGCCACAAAGCGGAAGGGCAGGGCTGGTGGCTCCTGGGAGGCCACCTTGGATGCAGCCTCTGCCGCCTTGAATATGGGGCTGTGTATCCACTGTAGAAAATCCCCGTGGAGGCACCTTTGTGCCCTCAGCTGCCCTGCCTGGGACCCAGCCCTCCAGGGGATCTGGCACTGGGGGCCTGGCTTGGGTGGGCAGGACTGGTCGAGTACCCCAGCCTCTGGCTTTGGGAGATGGGAGGGCAGGAAGAGAGGGTGGGCGTCTTCCCCAGGGATGGGCTCATCACTGCTCGTGGCTCATCCCTGAGCTTCCCTTCCTGAACCTGCCCGCCTCGGTGGCACCTTCGTTACACTCCATCACCCTTACTGGCTGTGCCCCCAGCTTCTTCCCTGCAACACCCCCTCTCCCTTCCCCGCTGGACTGTGGTTGGTATAACAGGGAAGAACAACGTGGGCTAAACACGGGGTGGTGGGGTTAGCAAGGAAAAGGGGTCTTCGAGTGGTGACACTTCATGCCCAGGGTCGCCAGGGACCCCACAGCAGAGCCCAGGTCTGGGGAGCATGTTTCCTCGACCACCTAGAAACCTGCCGCCCTCAAGGCAGTGGGATTGAGGGGACTTGTGCCGCAGAACTGGGGACCGAGGCAGCAGTTGAAAATGACATTGAGTTCCCCTCGTGTGGGGCCAGCTGCATCCCCAAGGCTTCCTAGGAGGGGGCAGAACCACCCCATCCTCAGTGACTTCCCCTGCACCCCCTCCCCAGTCTATGCAGGGAGAAGCAAGAACGGGGAGGTCAAGGCGAGTGCGGAGCCTGGGGCGGCAGGTGCCTAGTGTGCGGGCAGTGGCTACATGAGGAGACTTGTCCCCTCTCCCTGTCCTACCTCCCACCCTAAAGCCAGCGAGAAGCTGGGCCTTAGAGCGGGAGGAGAAGCCAGGCCGGCTCCCTTCCCGTACCCCTAATGGCCCCCAACCCAGGCCTGCCCCCCGGTGAGTGAGGAGGGGACAGGACCAAGTCCTGATGCCCAAAAGTGAACAGCCAGGTGCAGAATCTGCCAGAAGACAGGGGGGTTGTGCAGAAGACGCTGCAGGCAGTGACTGGAGAAGAAGGAAGCCATGCCACGTTCCCCACGGAGCTGAGACGCCCCTCTCCCCGGCCTGCGGAGAGATGGGGTCCGGGCGGGGCGGGGGTTGCAGCCCTGGGCTTTCAGGGAAGACTGAGTGGGGTGGAGAAATGCCCGCAGCTAACAGAGCTAAAGGACCTATCCCTCTAGGGGATGCGGGCCCCAGGCGTCGGGCCACAAAGACGAGGCTGCATCTTACTCGGGCCGTGTCGGAGCAGGGGTCCTGGCAGTGCAGCATGAGAGGGACCCAGGCCTTCTTCACTTCCCCTTTGAAGAAATGCTTCTTGGAAATCCGGACCACCTTTGCCAGCCTCCCAAAGAGGATGAAGGCTTTCAAACGCAGCAGCTCGCTTTCCTGCGGCCAAGATGTTACACGGCTGACTGCAGGAAGCAAAAAGCCCAGCGAAGCCCTCGCCACTCTCCCAGGACCATTGTCAATGCCATGGCCCTGCAGAGCCTGCTGGGCCATTGCATCAGGGCAGAGTCTCTCCTTCGGCGGGGCTGACAGTCCCGGAGGGACCGGGCATTACTCTAGCCTGTGACAGTCTGTTCCTAGGTGAGGGCTTGTGTGGAACGTGGACACACACCCCCGCCCAGCAGCGGCCGGCACGTCGTAGGTGCCCAGGGAGTATCTGTGGGCTGCAAGGAGTGAAACGGGCAAGCTCTTCCCTCCTGGCAGGGCTGGAGGGGCCCACGAGCCCTCGGACCCCACAGCACTGATTCTGCGGAACGCAGATCGGCCAGCTGATGTACGGGCACCAGGCAGGAGCCGCAGAGCCTTCTCTGGCCGGAGCCCGTCTTTTCGCTGGGGGTGAGAAGGGCAAGCTGAGGGAGGCTCTGAGCGGGACTCACGTTGTCGAAGAAGACCCTGCACCGCTCAGAGATGCTGTCGAAAAAGGCCCCCACATCCCCTTCTCGGAGCTCAGCCAGGATCTTGGCCAGGGCCCCCATGCCCTCAGCAGTCACGCGGATGCTCGCGGGCCCCCGCAGCGAGCCCAGGCACTTCTCCAGCAGGAGCTTCCGGTACTGCTTCACCTGGGGGGCGGCAGCCTGGCTCAACCGTGGCTCCCGCCTGCACGGGGGAGCACCCGCGGGGCCCCCAGCTCTGGGGACCTCAGGGCCAGGCGAGGTACCTTCCTGGGGGCGCCCAGGGCCATGTTGCCGAGCGCGCGCAGGGACAGCACCCGCAGGGCCTCGTCCTCCTCCTGCTCCGCGCCCTGCTCCAGCGCCAGCACCGCCGGCTTCAGCAGCTTCTCCTGGTGCAGGATCGGGTCGCTCATGAGCTGCGAGGAGAAGTTTGACAGTTCCCCCAGCGGAGGCCCGTTTCTCTGCAACAAGCCATGCGACACGCAGACGGTACTCCGAGAGGGAGGGGAGGGTTGCAAGTGCCTCAGTTTCCTTACTTGTAACAAGGGGTGACACTAGTGCCTGCCTCGGGGTTGTTGTGGGGACTCAATGAGGGACTGTGCAGGGAATGCTAGACAGGTGTTACCTGTCCAGACACATAGATTCATTTCCCCTTTATTTCTCCAGATAATAAGGCAGAGCGGCTGCCAAGTGCCGGAGCCAGGCCCACCCATGTCTGAACAGAAATGCACAGAGAGCATGAATTTCTGTCATTCGGGAGAATCAATATTGGCCTAGTACTCAAAGTGCCAAGACCACAAGCCGATGGGGACTCCCTGGCTGGCATGCGTGTACATGTGTGTGTATGTGTACATGTGTGCACATATGTGTGTATGTGCACATGCACATGAGCCCCTGTTAAAGAGTCCTAAAAAGAAAACTAAACACCAAATGGGTGAGTCCGGGGGCAAAAGGAGACGTGAGTCTACTGACTGTTGTCGTGTCCAGTTCTGTAATCCCCCATCAGGCACGGCTGCTCTGACCCCCCAGCGCCCTGTCTCCTCCCCCCGCTCCAGCCAGTCCTGGACACCAACACCGGCAGCAGCTTCCTACCGCACTTCCTTCACGTAGACATTTACTGAGCACCTACTAAGGGCCAGGCGAGCGGTGAGTGAAACTATCACACCCTGTTTGAAATGCCCTTCAGGATAAAGTCCAAACTTCTTAGCATGAGTTTAAAAAACTCTTTATAACACAATCATATCAACTTTCGAAGAATTTGAATAACTTGCTTCTCAAAAGCTGAACCTCATTTTTAGACAGTAATAATTAGCTGGCATTTGGTGAGTGCTCGCCACGAAGCCCAGCAACGCCTATATTATCTCATTTAATTCACACCGACGCCCCGTAAAGTAGGTACCGCTGTCCCCAGTCTGGCAGATGTGGAAGGCGAAGCACAGAGACACCAAGTCACTGATGCCCGGCTGCCCAGCTGCTGAGTGGAGGAGCAGGACCGTGACCCGGCCCTCGGATGCCAGCACCTGGGCCTGGCCACGGAGAGTTCCGGACCGAGACACGTCAAAGGGTGCCTCTCCGTCCCACCCTCGTTTGGAGGGTTCACAGAGGTGGCATGCACACAGGGAGGAGCCCGAGGACGTGAGGTGGCTTGGCGAGCACGTCCCAGGCTGCCTCGCACGGGCCAGGAGATTTTTGTACAGCCCACAGCCAAGGATCATTTTTGCATTTTTAAATGACGGGGAAAAAATCCAAAGAAGAACATTTCATGACACGTGAAAATTATGCGCAGTTTAAATTACAGTGCCCACCAGTAAGTAGGGTTTGATCGGAACCTGGCCATGCCCACTGGTGTATATGCATCGTCTGCGGCTGCTCTTGGCCACAAAGTCAAAAATATTTAATTACTTTGTGGCCCTTCACAGAAAAAGTTTGCCAACCCCTGTCCTGGGCTGCTGTTCCGTTCCTATGGTAAGTTGGGCATCATTTCCCTGGGGAGCCTCTCAATGCTCCAGCGGTATGACAGGGTAGCCCGGCCCACCTTCCCAGCTGGCGGAGCCCCTCGGCTCTCGGAGTCCTATGCGGGCAGCCTGCCCCAGTGACAGCGCAGGAGCCCTCCGCTGGGCCCCGGGGTTGCTGGCACCTACCGTGCCGCACATCAGCTGGCTGCCGGGCTCAGGGCACAGGCTGTGTCTCGGTCTCTCTGCCCCGCAGTGCCCCGCCCTGAACTACTCTCGTGATGAGCGAATGAGGGGGAAGGTGAGTGAATGAGCACACCAAGGTGGGGAGCTGGCCCGCCCTCGACTCCGGTGCCCAGAGATGAGCCACTGCCAGAGGAGCCCAGCGGCCCTGCATCCCCCCCTCGCACGGCCCACGCCCGCTCCTCACTTCCACACAGATGGCCGTGCTGCTGATGCGGCAGCTCGGGACCTGCGAGTCCATGCCCCTGAGCACCAGCTCCGACAGCCTCGGCCTGTAGCCCTCCACGTGCCGCATGCACAGCCTGTGCGGGGAGACGGGGCCGCTGGTCAGGGGGGACCCAGCTCCTGCCTGACGTTGGGCAGAGCTGGCCTGGGGCTGGCGCGGGCTGGCGAGGCGACCTTGGGCAGATCTCCTAACACCTCTGGGCCTCTCCTTCCTCGCCCAAAGGGCTTGGTCAGGTGGTCAGCGAAGTACTTAATCTTCATCTACTTTTTATAGAAGGGACTGAGAACGAGGACTGCTCGAGAGCTCTGGACCCGGGAAGCAAGTCCCCGCCCTGGCCCTGCTCAAAGCCCTGCGTGGCCTCCTCTCTCTGACCTCTCATCTCTGCTCTGAGCAGGAAGAGTTGGAATAGAAGATTCCTGCTATCTTGCACGCCACCCAGGGTCTGGGACACGGGTCGATCAGCATGGCAATTTCCCCAGAAACGGAACATTCCGCCACGACTGGACCGCGCCCTTCAGTCCCCCAAGGAGGAGACTGGAGGCCCTTCTGTCCCCAAGGAGGTGCCTCTCAGCTCCCACTGCTGCCACTCTGTGAGAGCTGGGCCCCACCTGGCCAGCCGGCTCACGCCCTCCAGGAAAGACCCGCCGTCCTCCAGGAGGGCCCACACGGCCTGCTCCTCCAGGGCGTGCTCCAGGCGCTCGCTGCGGATTTTCTTGCACAAGAGCTGCATGGACTTGATCGTGATCCTGGAAGAAGGTGGGAGCTTGTGACACGATGCCCGGCCGGGAGCACACGGCCAGGGAGGCTGGCCCAGAGGCCGCCTTGCTGTGAGGCCGGGTCCCAGCACCTGCAGGGCCTAGTCCAAGGGGCTGAGGGTCCGGTCCCAGGAGAGAGTGGGTCTGCACGCTCTGAAAACCACGCTGTGCTGGACACGTGCTGGATACACTGCTGCCTTGCCCCCCTCCCACCGGCCCACCCGCCCTCGAGAGCACCTCTGCGGGTTCAGCTCCTCGGGCAGGGGCCTCGTGTGGACCAGCCTCCACGTCTTCAGGACGGGTGAGGCGGCCTCTGGCTCGTGGCTGCTGGCGAGCTGCAGCAGGAGGGTGTAGAGCAGGTCGGGGAGGAGGCCCAGGAGCGCGCCCTCCTGGTCCATCTTCTGGATGAGAAGGTGGGTGGTGCACAGGGCCTGCAGAGAGAGGCGGGCGCTGGGGCTCCTGCCCGGAGACCCCGGAGGAGCCCCAGGGGCTGCCCTGCCACTCACCATCAGAGGGTCCACCGCGGCCAGGCGCCAGACGTCAGCCTTGGAGGTGGCGTTGACCCTGGGGGTGAACCGCGACTGCAGCCGGCTCATCAGGCCGTGGAGCATGGTCCGGGCAAAGGACACGTTCTCGGCCACAGCCAGCCACACCTCTGTCAGGTGGCTAACCAAAGCAGGGCACAAGCACTGTGAGCTTCCTGGCAGGCAAGAATCCCTCGGGATGTCTCTGCAGCCCCCAGAGTAGGGGTTGAACGCTGGGGGCTGAATGTCAGGGAGGTGGAGGGAGGCGCCAAAGTTTGCATAATTAGCACCCAGGCCCCTGACTCCACACTCAACCCCCTTTCTCTGTAGGGGCTCAGAGTCCCACGGCTCCAAGGAAGGCCCAGCTCCCCTACCGGGAGACCTCGGAGGGCCCCTCTGGCCGACTGTCTGATGACTTTGTGGACATGTCCAATATGCCCCCAAGTGCCCAGCTTGTGTAAGGCTGGCACTAGGCAGCTTGCTGATGTACGTCCTAATCCTCCCTTCCCTCTCTGAGGAAGATGTTCTTATGTCCATATCCCACACAAGAGGAAACCGAGGCGCGCAGAGGTTAGGTAACCTGCCAGACTGCGACTGCAGACGGCCTGACAGATCCCCAAGGCCGAGCCCAGGCCCCTGCCAGGAAGGGACGTGCTGAGGAGAGGAGCAGAGGACAGAAAGGCGTGGACCTGGCAAGTTCTAAAGGGCTAAGGTGACGATTCTAACAAGTCTAAATGCAATTTAACAAGATCAAGTTGACGAAGAGTTGAATTTACAAAACCGAATGCGCAAGTGCGGGTGAGTTTGGGTTGCGGGGGTGATGCGGCCGGGGCCCTCGTGGTAGGAATCGAGTGCAGAGGTGGGTCGAGTGCGCTCACAGCACCAAGTAAAGAAGCCTCGGGGTGCAAGGAAACAGGGAAGCGGGGACCTCAGGCCTGCGATGGCAAGAAACAATTCTACCAACCACCTGTTGGAAGAGGACCGGGGCTCTGAATGCAGCCCGGCTGACACCTTGATTGCAGTCTTGTAAACCCTGAACGGAAGGCCCAGCTGGCCACACCCAGACTCCTGCCCCAGGGAAGCTGCAAGATCATACGTGGGTGGTAACTTGTTCCTCGGTAACAGCTAACCAACACAAATGTTGGTGAACTGAGTGAACGCCAGTGTGACGTGGCCACCAAGCATGCCAGCCTCACCCAGGGCTGCCCCTCACCCCCACCGCCACTGCCACGAGAGCCACTGACCCCCATTCCATCACGAAACCCGCACTGCCCTCTCACCCGGACCCGCCGCAGGGCCGCCCTTGCGAGGAGCAGCTCCACTTGCAGCCAGGCCTGCATTTTGGGGGTCAGCCCTCCTGGCTCTGGGTTCAAGGCCCTTGTTTGAAACTCTCTTTTCCTTGTTCACAGCCTCGTGGTGCGACACCTGCCTAATCTCCCTGCGCCAGCACAGGCTCGACTCCTCTGGGGATTATTGCCCACCTCTTTCTGGGCCCTGCACGTTTGGGGAGACCCTCCCCGGCTGCCTGTGGGATGCTGTAGCGCGCACGGGAGTTGGCGCTATTTGCAGAAAGAGGGGGCTGCTCTCTGCTTTACTCATGACCGCCCGAGGGGCTGCAGGTTGGGCTTTTCTTCCTTGGAAACTTGGACAAGTCCCTGCCCCTCTCAGGACACATTTGAAAGGAGTGGGGACAGACCGGAGCCTTGCTCAGGCCTGGGGAGCCACGTGCAGGAAAGGGCTGCCGTGGGGATGCTGGGCGTCACAGAACTGTCCCGGGGGAGACCAGGGCATGTGGGAAGCTATGGGATCCAGATTCCAGCTCCGCATGATGAGGCTGTAAAAGTCTGGGCTCGGGATCAGTGGTTCGTCGGGAGCTGGTACCTCCTACAGGACATACAGGCACAGGGTTTTGACCTGCCTCGGGGCGGGGCAAGGTACTGCCCAAGGCCCCAGGCTTCCGGGACATTTGGGGTGGTGAGCTGGGCGTGATGTGAGCTGCACAGGAGGCCGGGACTGCCTCCCCAGGGCGCTCACCTCTCCATGGGCAGGGGCTGCCTCAGGAGCGACGTGAGGACGGTGTCCTGGTGGTAGTGCGCCAGCAGGAGGATGCCCTTGATGAGCAGGTGCCGCACCTCCGGCTGATCCACCCCTGGCAGGTGCACCAGGATGGCACCCAGGATCTCGGCCGCCTGGGGAGGGGGCGTGGCATCATGGGGCAGCCTGGGTCCCCCCAGGCCTCCTTCCCTCACCCCATGGCATCCCCTCCTCCGGGGACTCTCGTTGCATCAGACAAAGGACAGGTCAAGCTGCCGGCACACTCTCCAGCGTGTCCTGTGCCTGCTTCCTCATTTATCCGGCCTTCAGCACGGGAGGGACGTACTCTGGGAAAGGGCCTCGGGCCTCCAGACCACTGTCCACGTACTGACCAGGTGACCCTCAACACATTTCTTCCTCATTCTAGAACTCTATTTCCTCCTCCTCTTTGGCAACCAGGGGTTTAGGGTAAGCACTCACAGTGGGTGCACTGAGCAGCCCAGCCCCACTCCAGGTGGCCCCTGCCCCACGTGGCTCTGCCACCTTGTCCTCCAGATCCTTGACCCGCATCTGGAGGAAGGTGCCTATCCAGGTGACAGAGGCCTTGTCGTGCTGCAGGTCCATGGCCCCGATGTTCTCGCAGAGCTTCTGGATGAGTGACACCACCTCGTCGCAATTAAACTCCATGCAGACCACCTAGGAGGAGAGCAGGCTGATCTGGGATCTGCAAACCAAGTCTTGGGCCAACTCCCCTGCCCCACGTGACCACTGCACCCCATCCTCTCCCACCCCAGCTCATGGCCCCAGCCCAGGCCCCCATCCTCTCTCAGACCCTGGCCGCAGCCTCCTCCAGGCACCCGCCCCTCTTGCTGTCCACGGGTCTGCTCAGACCTCACTCCTCTACTTCCAGGGTCCCCCTGTCAGCCCCTCCAGGCTCGGCCAGCTTTCCCAGGCCTCTGGGGTATACCCCAACCTCTCCACTCTTCATCATCTGCACCCCAACCCCGCACAGGAAGCTCCACCTCAAAATCCGCTATCCTCGCTCTGCTGCCCTGCAGCCCTGCAGCCCTGATGCCCCTGGCCTCGTCCTGCTGCTCCGCAGCCCCCTTGGTCCTAAGACAGTTGGGGCCTTGCCCCCCTGAAGTCCTGAGCCCCCTGTTCTGGCAGCTCTGGGCACTTCCACTCATCACTGTGCCATTAGCGTGCCCATGTCCAGCGCCCTGTGCAGGCCAGTCCAGATGGTTCCAGTGGCCCCCTCCACTCTTGGTGTAGCACATTGCAGGGATGGGGAGCAGACAGCAGGGCATGGGCCAGGGGGCACAGTGGGGACCTGACATACTGCAGCCCGTTTCAATACAGACAGCAGGAGTCAGACCGAAGGCCATGGACGTGGGGAGCCTGGGAGGCCCCACCCCCAAGAGATGGCTCAGGCCCCTGACACCAGCCCAGGGCCCAAGCAGGCTTTCCAGCTGTCACCTTGGCGATTCTCGAGGATGCGCAGAAAATCTTCTCCATGTCTGTGCCCCAGAGGTCCTCCTTACATTTCTCAAGCTCCTTCTCCTTGGCAGTGCTCCACAAGGAGCAGGTCTGGCTTGCTGTTGGGAGTACAGTTTCACACATGACCCGCAGGGACAAGGGCCTGGCCACGGCCACTTTGAGGCAAACTCCTACCCTGGCTTTGCGAGCCTGAGCCACCCTCCGGCATCTGGACATCCCCTCCCTCTGGGCTTTGCTGTCGTCGTTCCTTCTGCACAGCAGGCCTCTGCCCGCACCACCTCTACGCACAGCTCAGATGCCTGCTCTCCCTTCAGCTCAGCTGTGGCCAGTCCTGCCATGTCTTTGGTATCTACGAGCTGACCTTCTCACAGGGGGTCCCCTTAGTGCCCAGCACATGCCCTCAGCGAGTCAATCTGGACCAACGAGCCTCTCCTTCCAGAAACTTCCTGGTGAGCTCTCCCTACTCTGCCCTCTCTGTTGGTCACCTTTGCCTGTCTCCATGTGCAGAGCGGCCAGGCTTCCCTGCAGGGCAGGCCGCAGCCAACATCCCTGGTGTGAGCCACCCTCCCTTCCAGGAAGGCTGGCCCTCGTGCTCTGCCCCTCCGTACCGTGAAGATCTAGCAGGGTGGACAGGACATTAGTTGAGGCTATACGGGTTCTTCGGTGGGCGTCACAGGTGCATGGGGCAATGAGTCCGACCATTGTGCCAAACTGCCCCAGCTTCAGGGGGATCTGGAGGATAGGAAAGCAGGGCTCCCACCTGTGCTCTCCGGCACACTCAGGGGCAGCACAAATGGCCACTAGAGAATGTGAATGCTGCTCTGCAGGCACCGTCTGGGGCGGGGAGGCTGCCACCATCGCCTCCCACCCACACATCAGCCTCCCACCCCCATAGTTGGGCCCCTGGAGGCCGATCGGCCAGGGTCCGAGGGTCCAGGACCAGCCCTGAGCCAGCTCTGCCCTGCTCGTAGCTCTGAACTCGGGTGAAGTTGTTCCTGTAATGGGGCCCTGGGTTCAAATCAGGGTTTCCCCACTCACTGGCTGAGTGGCCAGGGTGGGGTACCTCTCCCCTCAGCCCCTCAAGTTCCCTGTCTGTACAGTGGAGATAATAGTGGTGCCTCCCCTTTTGGGGAATGTTGTGAGAATCAGATCAGAGAAGGCAGGCGACACACTCAGCGTTGCTCAGCGCTGGTCTTGGCCCTGCTGAGCTCTGCTGAGCCCTTGCCACGCACCTCCCCCAGCCTTGGACACCGTAACCTGCTCTTAGCCGCCCGAGGACAAGGCAATCAAACAGTTTGGAGCCATCACGTGCAGGAAAAGAAGTGTCACCAAGTCATGTAAGACGGTTAATCAATAAAACACTACATTGTTCTAGATTTCGTGATGTTTGTGCTACCTGACAAGCTTTGTAAAATTTGCGATTTTATGCTGATTTGTTTTCTCATTCTAAGTAAATATCCATTTTCCTAACCAACATAGTATTCATCATTGCATACCCTTTTTCTTACAAAGGGCCCCATAACACCTGGACCCACACCCAGCCACATCCCATCCTTTCCCTGCCTCGCCCGCCCAGAGCCCCGGCACTAGTTTGTCGCAGCCTCTTCCCAACGGACTCTGCAGGGGCCAAACTTGATATCAAAAGTGTTCCCTCTTCTCCCACATAAAGACAGGAATCCCCCTGTGGCTGTCCGAGCAGCAGGCTGGGGGTGGGCGCTCCCAGACTCACACAGACTCCAACGCTTTGGACATAGATCTTCAAGAGATGCAGATGGAGCTTCATGGCCTTCTCCCTCTCCCATTCTTTCTCCGACAAGATCCACTTCTCCAGGAGCTGAGGGTAGAGCCCAGGACACAGAAGCAGGCATGGAAATCCCGGTGCCAGCCCTTTCCTGGCTAGCTTTTGCCCTCCGCTTTCCTCCTACTCAGAGTCTGAGTCTCTATGTTTCTGTGTCAGTCTAGAAAGTTCTGGTTTTCTCCCCAGGCTCCACCATGAAGGGAGGCTGCAGGCAGGGAGAGCATGTCCCCAGCATCCTCACCAGGATGGTGTTTGGCCTGACTCCAAATGTTTGCCTGCAGTAAAAGGCCAGGAGTACAGCCCACCCTGCCCCCCAGATGGCCCTGGGGGCCATTCTGATATCAAATTTCATTCCAAAGTAAAGAATATTACTACAGATGAAGCGGGTCATGCCATCACGATAGTGGTCAGTTCATTAAGAGGACATAACAATCCCAAATGTTCATGCACCTGACAACACAGGTAAATAACATGTGCAGCAAACCTGGTAGAACTGAAAGGAGAAATAAATCCACAGTGATAGCCAGAAATTTCAGTGCCTCTTTCTCAATAGTTGATAGAACAGGAAGATGGACAATTGGGAAGGACATAGAAAACTTGAACACTTGGCCTAAGTGACATTAAGGAACACCACCCCCAACGACAGCAGAATAGTTTCCAAGTGCACATTTACCAAGATAGATCATGTCTGGGCGACAAAATCAGTCTCCATTGATTTTAAGGGATTGGAAATATACAAAGTACGTCCTCAGACAACAGTGGAGTCAAATTAGGAAGCTAAACCAGAAAGGTTTCTAGAAAACCCTCACATATTTGGAAATTTCTAAATAACACACAGGTCAAGGAAGAAATCAAAAGAGAAATTAAAATGCACTTTGAACTGAAATAATATTAGAACACAGTATATCAAAATTGGTGGAATGTGGCAAAAAAAGAACAAAGTCTATAAACCTACATTGTCTCATCTTTATTTTAAGACTTATTATAACATCACAGTAATCAAGCCAGTGTGGAATTGGTGTAAAGACAGACAGACACATCAGTGGAGCAGAGTAAGTGTCTGGGAACAGCCCCACACCATGTGTGGTCACTTGATTTTTGACAAAGTTGTAAAGGTAATTCAGTAGAACAAGGATATTCCAGCAAAAGGTGATGAAACATGTGTAAAAATAAAATAAAATAAACTTTGATCCGTGCCTCAGACCATACAAAAATTAACTCAAAATATATCATAGACCTAAATGTAAAACCTGAAAATACAGAACTTCCAGAAGAAAAAAAAAAAATAGAAGAAAATCTTAGTGGCCTTGGGTTAGGGAAAGACTCTTAGATTTGACACCAAAAGCATGATTCATAAAAGAAAAAAAGATAAGCTAAACAATCAAATTTAAAACTT